AAGTCTAAGTCTAAGTCTAAGTGACTTGTAATCTTCAGTTGTAGCTCATTGAGAGAAGGTGCTGCTACCTGATGATCATAGCTGTGTACCTGTTAGCTAGCTTGTTTGTGTTTGGCTGAGTCACAACAAACTCCAGTTCTTCATCTTGTTTTCCTCTCCTCTTGATGAAGCAGAAAAGAGTGAAGTCTACCTCACTTCCTGTGTTTTCCTCATCGCTGATTGGCTCTTTGTCGCTCCTCATTTAGAGGCCGCTCACTCTTTAACCTGTAGTTCTGGTAAGAGGAGTTAATCGTTATTATGTATTCATTTTAGTTGAACTGAGAACTTTATTTATCCTTGTTTAAGATTAACATGAGACATTACATTTTAATTTGTTTGTTTTCTTTCAGAGTCAACAGTCCATGTGTTTTTACACTCTTTAATAACCCTTGTTTTGAAGTCAACAAGATGCACATGATAAATTATTCGAGTTAAGAACAGTAGATCCTCTCTGACCCTGGAGTCAGATGGGATCATTATCCAGCGGTACTCTTCCACGGTTCCCACAGACCGTGTCCTCTACAAAATAAATCATCAGAGTTTGAGTTGTGTAATTTCAAGTTGAACCATGGTGCACACATTCAAAACAACCCTGGTGTATGAAATAAAACAAAGTCTACAGTCATTGGAATAATAATCTGAATTTGTGGTACCGTGGTGGAATAAATCAATTAGCCAATATTCAATAACAAAAGGAGCAGATTATTCCTTATTTAGGGAACTTTTCATACATTTCCCTGTCTGTATTTTTATCATTTTTATCTAGTGGGAGCAGATCTTATTGGAGAGAGAGATGGAGCATGTAAGTTTGTTTTGATCCCCTGTAGGTGTGTCCTAAAAAAAATTTATTCTGGATCTGATCAACTCATTTTCCTAATTTACATATCTAATACATTTTGTGACGAGCTAACGAAGCAGTTCAGTGCAAATAAAAAACTAAAACGTTACTTTCTAAACACCAAAGTAGTCAACTGCTAGTTATTCACTCACAGATAACAGTTCAGAAGAACATCTCTGCCACAAAGTAGTCTTTTTAACTCTTTGTATGATACAAAAAGGGCCTCAAAGTGCTTCAGCACAGAGATGTTCACTCAGTTGGTCTGTGTCACATTCCTATTCTTCCCAGATGTCCTCCATTGAAGCCACATATCTAGTCTAAACAAGTCAACAACAAATCATACCACGAGGAAAGTGGAGGATTGTATAATGTTCATTAAATGACAAAGATAGGAGACTTTTCCATAGTTCCCACAGAGCGTGTCCACTCCCTGCAACCATCAAACACAAATAAATGAGCCACACAGTCAGATGATGAAGAGGTTTTCTCACACAGCTTCAACACTTCCAAACTGTTTTCATAACTAAGATAATGTAAATAACAAAATATTGTTTTTCCTTTTATTGCAAATGTTACTTTTGAGAGCTCAGCTGTGTAGACTTTTTAAAACTTACATTAGCTGTGAAAATGAAACTATTAGTCACAATAAAGGGATAGAAATGGTCGGCTGGCTTCATTACCATACGAATACAATAATACAAACACAAACAATAGAAATGACATGACATCAGTGACCACTGAATGCACCATCAAACTGATAGAAACTAATACTGCTGGCTCATTAATAGACATTCAGCAAAATTAAGAAACCATATTGGACTCCAGACGAATAATTATAAAAATAGATTTTCCACTTAAGCTTTAGAAAAACAGAGTTTCTTAATCGTATTTCTTTTGTCATGTTGTTTTAATTTCTCATCCTGTAATTCTGGGAAATCTGGACTCGGGAAAGATTCCTCTAATACTTCTTCTGTGTATAAAATATATATTTCTTGCAGATAATATGGATAGAGTCCATTTTAATGCCATTTTTTAATATAATTAGTCACCTATAATATACAACATCTGTAACATTTATCATGCACACAAACACATGCACTTTTTCTTGTGGTACGATTTGTTGTTGTACACAGACACAACGAGTAATACCTCTGAGAGCAAATTACAGCTTCTCACCCAGCAGCAAAAACAATGTTAATGTCTCATTAGCGGAGGAGCTGGTTGTATAAAGTAACACTTCTAAACCACTGAGGCGCCGGGCCAATCTGAGGTGTTAGAAAAATAAACTGTAATGATGAAAACAGGTAAACAAGTCAAATAGCAACTTGTGTGTGATGTACTTGTGTCAAAAAGTTTGTATGGCGGTCTCCCTTAATGTCGTAGAAAACAAACTTTAGTTCACTTGACTAAAAGAGAATCTATGTTCACACGAGCAGTTCAGAAGATTTTTAGTTGAGGACTTCACACAAAATAACAAATCTCTTGGACATAGTTGTCTCTTTATGATGGAAACTACCTTTTCATCCCAGCAGTAGATGGCGGTCCGATGGTCCTCGGCCTTCAAAGACATGTAGAGCAGTAAGGGCATAATGAAGTAGAGGCTGAGGCCAGATTCTCCTGCAGCATCCTGCTGAAAGTTGGAATTTATTCAACACATTTTAAAATCACTAAAACAAGCCCTACTTTATAATTGACACACATGTATTAAGACATAAATGCAATAGTGTTTTGTTTTCGCAAAAACATCCGGTAAACACTTAACACTTCAGTCAGCAATAAGCCATTAATATTAGAAATAGGCTTTTCTGCTTTCTTGCCGAGAGTTAGATGAGGAGATTGATTTCACTGTCATATGAAGCTACAGCCAGAAGCTGGTTAGCTTTGCTGAGCATAAAGAATAGAAAAATGGAGAAAATAGACAAAATACAGAAATGATTACAGTGTACCTTTCAATAGTTAAGCAGTGGCTTCATATTTATTGTATAGATAGATAGATAGATAGATAGATAGATAGATAGACATAGAATAAGATAGATAGATAGATAGATAGGATAATAGATAAGGATAGAGTAGAATTAGATAGATAGATTTACGATAGATAGCAGTAGATAGAATAGATAGATTAGATAGATAACTTTTTTTATTTATCCTGAGGGAAATTCAAAGCATCCAGTAGCATACAAAATACAAAACAGTACATTAACAAATAAAAAACCTTGACCTAAAGAACAGAATCAAGAATAAGATAAAAGCATAAAAGGCGATGAACACACCCTCTTGGCCTGACTGGAAAGGGTGTTGGGTGCAGAGGGTGGTTGGGCTTTGTGTAGGTCCTTCTCTCTGCCCACTGTCACCCAGGACGGAGTCCAGCTCTGGTGGGGCCCACTACTGAGCCCAGCTTTCCTTCCTCCACCAGCTGTCCTAGTCCAACGTGACACATCTTTCTTCTCTTCTTGCTTCTGTCCTGCCCCCAGAAACCCATCTAGCACTTAAAAGAGCACGCTGGCGCCAGCCAGCAGACTGGTAAAACATCTTTGCAGCCCCAGTTTTTTGCAAACGATTTTTGGGGATAGGAAATCCCCAGCCGTTTCTTCCAGGACAGTGACCAGATGGCCCTCTGCCTTTTTTCTTTTTTTTTCTGGTGTTTAGAGGGTTCCATATTTTGGCTGGTTCCAGTCCAGCCTGTCTCCAGCTGCAGCCCCAGGATATTTATAGTCCTGACCCAACCTCCACATCGACCCCCCCCCCCCTCCATGGGACACCCGGGGTTGGAGATGTGGTGTTCTTCCTTCTGAATTCCCAATCCACCACCCTGGTCTTTGAGGTGTTTGGAGCTGCCAGTATGGTTGGACCTTCCATCCATCCTCCACCCGGAAACCTCGACCAGTCCTGTACTCTCCCCCCCCTTCCCCGATCCCATTTCCCCTGAAAATCAGGCCAACTATCGAGTTGGTGTGTCGTGAGTATTTCTGCAGTGGTGCAGAGCCCGTGAGTTTGTACTGGAACGTCAGGCTTTTGCTAGTCTCACCACCAAGAGTTGTTCTTCAGTCTGCTCTCCCCTAACTCCTTAGTCCATACAAGCACGTAAAGTTAAAATGTCGAACTTGGTGTTGCCAAGACTTTAGGTTTGGAACCGTCGAAGGACTGTAGTATAAGATAGCTTAACTGCTTGGCCTTTATGGAAGACTGACTAATACTTTAAAACTTATTTTAGACAATAACAACAGCCAGGAATAAAAATGCCCCCTGTTCAATTAGTTAATAACTTTATTTTAGGATTCAGGGCTGAAACATACTAACTCCAGCAAAGGAGATCTTGAACCCAAAAGTTAATTTTTTTTACAAGGATAGAAAAATAAATGTGAAAGATAACTCGTAGGCCAAATGGAGAAGGAATTGATAAAAGTTGAAGGATGATTGTGGAAGGTGGACGGAGGTGACATCATCTCTTGCGTTTTTTTTGTTTTTTTTTGCAAAATGGAGGGGTGATATCAGAAGTTACAATAAATTGAATTGCCTGGTAGAGTGTTTATCTCATTTCTCTGCCACCCACCTTCCATCCCTGCTTTCCCCTCCCTCCCTGATGGATGGCAGCTGGGGGCCCTGCCATCTCTGGCTTCCGCCTAATCATCAACTCCCCTGCAAGGCGGCTTGCTGGTCCCACTCTGAGACTGCAGTCCTGTACCTTACCTGCTGGCCGTTCGTTTCCTTCTCTGCTCACTGTGACCACTCAACTGCCTGCACATCTCCCACTTCCCCACTTCCGCAGCTCCACGACCGCCGATGCCAACGCCTGCTCCTTCTCGCTGGCTGTTGGTCCGACCCCGGTGTGGGTCTGCTGGTGGCCCATCAGAGGGCCTTGCGTACGTGGAGCGTGCTGGCTGCTGGGGAGCTATGTGTCGGTGCTTCTGATCCCTTATTCGTTTCTTACTGGGGTCTGCTTCCCTGCTGCCTTGCCACCATTGGTCATACCAGACCGCTTACCTGGCTATCTGTGACCCACTTGCTGTAACTCCTCGTCAAGATCAACCTGGACTGATGTTAAAAATCTTAAAATCTGGTTCTCTGTTGGGCCTGTTCTGCTTTTCACAACGGGGTGTGATTCTGATGGGACACTTAGGGCGTCCCGGACAGGATTCAGCTCCTGCCACTGGGGGAGGTGTGGTTGGTCATCAGCCACATCTCAGGCTACCACTAGACATGTTACTCTCATCTTGTGGGCCTGCACTTGCAATGGTTTCTCTATTGTTGAGGTGGTTTGTGGTTGCTGTATTCTCAGGTCGTGTTCATTCGGTTGCAGCGCTGGCTTACCGGCTGTCTCTGCCAGCTCCAACCGCAACAAATCAGAGCAGGAAGGCAGCACAGGACCTCTTCCGGCTTGTGATAGCTGCTGTTCTTAATGTGCTTTCTGCCTATTTAGCGTATCCCGCTTTGCAGGTGAGGACACCTCCACTAGCCGCATATTATGCCCGTGTTGTCTTGGATAATGCTGTTGAACTCCGGTCGCAACCCCTGATTTATGCTCATGTTCTACCCCTGGTTCAGGAAAAGCTATCCAACTCACTCACCCAGAATACTGCAGCCTCACTTCCCGAGGTTCAACAGTGCTGTAAGACAGGGCTGAAATCATAGAGACCCTCTACAGAGGCCTCAGGCACAGAGTTTCTCATTTTGTCACACACGTAATCACTAGTGAAGTACATGATACTGCACTTGGCTGTCTGTTGACCTTGAATGAAACAATCTATGTGCAGCATTTGTGCCTGGGAGCAAAATATTATCACACATGCAAATATAAAGATAAATATAAACATTGAAATGACAATGATCTAGTGAAGTGAATCTCTTTAGCTGTTCTTTCAGTGGAAAATGTCCTCTTTTCATTTCTTTACCACATTGTCATGAGCAAATGTATCTTTTAAGCCTTCTTTTGCCAGCCGTCTCTAAGTATAATATTCATATATTTATTCTGAATTATTCCTTTCCTTCCATAGACTTACCATTTGAGAGGTGTCTGTGTGAATCAGGCCTGTAAATCACAAGGAAAAGGAAAAATCTGAGTAAGAGAAGGAGAATAAAACAACACATGCCCCCCCCCTTTGGTCCAACTATTGCTGAGCGACCCTCAAACAAGGCATAGCTCCCAGTGGAGAATGATTTTAACAGAGCAGCTCTTTAGGTATACATCTGTATGAAATAATGTGTAATAATAAGTACACACTTTCTTGATAAATAAATATATCTCAGCAAACCAACAGTCACAAAGCATGCACATTCTGGCTGCAGCCACATGGGGGCGTTGCAATGGAGACTACAGGACACTGCAGAAGACGCTTGCTGCCTCTTTGTACAGCAGAAAGAGCTAGACCAACACAATACACTAAAAGTCACATTCAGACACCTTTTAAAGCATTTCACCAACCTGGTTTCTGCATTTCTTTTAACCAATTCATTGTGAGAACATTCTCACCGACGAGCCAACTTCTATTTCACTGTCTACTGTACCTACCCAAAGATAGCAAACAGTCTTAATACCCTGTCCCTACAAAAAGATGGATTCTTATTAACACAGTGCTACATGGTCAGTTGTAAAATTGATCTTGAGTTGAAGTAAACTAGAAGTTCAAACATGAAAACTGAGCTCAAACTGTTGTCTGTTGAACTAATTGAGATGTACACTGAGTAGGTCCTATGACAAATGTATTGAATATGTGAAGGAACCAACTAATGTCTATACACTGGACTTTTCTCTTAATTTATTCACTATTTGTATTACACTTATTTTTCCTACTTTATTGTGCTACTTTAATTTATATACTGCGCAGGCTGGGAGGAATACTGGGTGGTTAAAATGTGGGGTAATGTTTATGTGAGTGCAGTATGTTTGTACATGTGAGTGTATGTCTATATAAATACATAGCATAACTTTTTTAATAAAGTTTAAAAATAAATTCTGTTTAAAATAATAAAAACAACAGTTTTGAAGTAATTTCATTATAAATTGATATTTTTTTGCTCTGTAGTATCTCTGTATACTTTTTTATAAGATGATGTGTGCATGGTGTGGATTAAAAATAAATTACACAACCTAATAATGATGAAACAATAGCACGCACTTATCATTTTGGATTTTTAACCTGCATTTAGATGTATTCATTCATTTTAAATGACCACTTGAGCCTTCTGCTGCTTTTAATTAGTCGCTATACTGCATAAAATCCAGTGGCTCAACGTCAAAGAGGTTGAAGGTGTCTACTGAAGAGCATCTATTATTCATACCTTTGCAACGGGAAAAATAAGCCTACTTGTTAAAAACACAGGTTATATTAACTCAAATCTACATATAAACCCACTTAAAACCAAACATGAATGAATGAGGAATGATGAAAAGGGGGAGAAAAGTTGCATCAGTCATCAGGTGTTTGGAGAGGTGGGAGGGCAGGTTTGAGGAGGATAAATCGGCTGTCTGATGGGGAGCTACAGCTCTTCCCCTCCTCCCTGATGGATGGCACTGGGGGCCCTCCGCTCTGCTTCCCCAACATCAACTCCTCCTGCAGGCGGCTGCTGCGTCCCCACTCTGAGACTGCAGTCCTCTACACCCTGCTGTACTGCATCACTCTGCTCACTGTGACACTCAACCTGCTGGTCGTCATCTCCATCTCCCACTTCCGGCAGCTCCACACCCCGACCAACGCCCTGCTCCTCTCGCTGGCTGTGTCCGACCTGGTGGTGGGGCTGCTGGTGATGCCCATCGAGGGCCTGCGCTACGTGGAGACGTGCTGGCTGCTGGGGAGGCTGATGTGTGCTCTGACTCCTTATGTTTCTTACTGTCTGCTCTCTGCCTCTTTGGGCCACATGGTGCTCATATCCATAGACCGCTATCTGGCTATCTGTGACCCACTGCTGTATTCCTCTAAGATCACCCTGACTGATGTTAAAATCTTAATCTGTCTTTGTTGGGCCTGTTCTCTTCTCTACAACGGGTGTATTCTGATGGGACACTTAGGGCGTCCGGACAGGTTCAGCTCCTGCCACGGGGAGTGTGTGGTGGTCATCAGCCACATCTCAGGAATTGTTGACCTCTTTATCACCTTTGTGGGGCCTTGCACTGTCATGGTTGTTCTCTATTTGAGGGTGTTTGTGGTTGCTGTTTCTCAGGTGCGTGTCATTCGGTTGCAGACGGCTGCTACCGCTGTCTCTGCAGCTCCAACCGCTAAAAAATCAGAGAGGAAGGCAGCCAGGACTCTTGGGCTTGTGATAGCTGTGTTTTTAATGTGCTTCTGCCCGTATTACTATCCCGCTTTTGCAGGTGAGGACACCTCCACTAGCTTGTCATATTATGCCCTGTTGTCTTGGATAATGCTGTTGAACTCCTGTGTGAACCCTCTGATTTATGCTCTGTTCTACCCCTGGTTCAGGAAAGCTATCCAACTCATCTTCACCCTCAGAATACTGCAGCCTCACTCCCGGGAGGTCAAAGTGCTGTAAGACAGGGCTGAAATTATCTGTGTCGGGTCCCTTTTCAGTTTTAATGAAACATGGTGCCTTGTATCACCTGTATGTTTGTTTGTGTGACTCACTGTGTATTCAGTCTGAGCAGCCTGGGACAGCCTCGACAGCAGCCTCAGCTGCAGGCTTTCTCATTTTGTCCCACACTCTGCAACAAAACATTATTACACATAAGATGAATAAAAAATACATATTTTATGTAATTTAAAGAAGAACATTTTCATCATTTAGGATTTTGGAAACATCTCCAGTTCATAACATTTCATCAACATAAAAATATGTTGCTATTTTGTCATATAAGCCAAGAAAAGGTGACAACATAATGTGATGAGGCTTTATACTCCAATATATATATAAGCTTGTATAATTGCATTATAACTCTTTGGATATAACACAGAAGACTGTTGGTTTATCTGCTTCCTCATTACATTAGTTGCTTTTATCTCCACTGAGAGATTTAAAGTCAGTATGGTTTATTGTCTTATTTTAAAATTCACTATCTCTGCGGTCTAACATAGCTTTTATGACCCACCTCTCTGTAAAGCTGTGCTAAACACATCAGTGTGTTGTTTTATGATTTATAACATTAACGATGTGGTCAAATGAAAAGATAAAAACCTGCAATTTCCATTTCCATCTGTCGTGCTGCAAATTTGTTTACCTAATTAACTGCTATGCAAAAACTGACATTGCAGTAACAAAACAGTCAAATCAAATAAGAATACACTAAAAATACTCATTAATACTCACTATCACACTTTACTTTCGTATATTATTCAGAATTTTGTCTATTCATCCATAGACTTACCTGTAAGACAGACTTTCTCCCTTGTCTATATGAAGCAAGCCTGGAAATCATAATGGTTGGGGAAATGGTTATTAAATTGAATTTAAAAATATGAATAGACAGAACAGTATAAAACACACTCCCTCCTCACTAAGTCTTAAATATTATTGTTTTAAGCTAAGCACTTCACCTCTAGTGGAAAACAGTATACAACTATATTTTTAAGGGCAATTTTAAAAAGAAAATGTAGCTAGGTAAGGTGACTAAGTGTTGGTATAGTAAACAGTCTCACTATCCACGTTTTAATCTTATTAACAATTCATTAAAACAAACAAATGCATTAAGACATATACAATTGGCTTGTTTATGAAGACATCAATGTTTTGAAATGCTTAGTTTATTCAAGTGCTACATTTATTTAATGCAGCCCCTTAAAGAATATATGGTAGTTTTGAGGAGTATATAATAAAAAAACAATCTTTACCATAAGAATTACAGTTTTTTCCAATTGCTAACACACTAAAATGGCACTGCATGAGCTAATTGGCCAATATATGTGCCACCTGGCCTATATATAATAATCTAATCTATATATTTTTTCTGCAATTTT